CAGACCTGCAGAGCAGCAGCAGCAGCAGCAACACCAGCAGCAGCAGCAAAAGATGAAGCTACGGAAAAGGAAAAAAAATAAAAACAGATACAGTTGAAAAACACAAGAGGGTCAAAAGAGACAGTTCGAGTAAAAGGTCCGCAAAAAAAGGCAGCAAAGCAGGCAGTTGAAAGAAGAAGAGAAAGAAGACAGACAGAAAAAGAGGGAAAATAATTAGAAAAACAGAATTAAAAATGACAGAGAACAAAAAATGAAAACGCGAAAAGCAGCAAATAAAACGGCCCCGCACAGCGCATAACGGCAGCAAAAAGAAACCCCTACTACGGGAAAAAGAAATGCAAAAGGAACACCCATAGGGGTCCCTTAGAGGGCCCTCTAAGCCACTTAAAGAGCCCTTTGATGGGCTCTTTAAGGGGCTTTAGGGGGCCCCGAAGGGCCCCCAGAGAGCGCCCCTAGGGGCCCCCTGGGGGCCCCCTAGGGCCCCCTATGATCCTCTCGAGGGGCCCCCACAGAGGAATCCCTAGTGCCCCCTCCCTTACAAGCCCCCCAAGGACCCCCCTAGGGGCCTCTTAGGGCCCAGGTCCCCTAGGGGCCCCCTAAGAGGCCCCCCTTGGGGCCCCCCTGGGGCCCCGGGGGCCCCGTGGGGGCCCCCTGAGGGTGTGGGTATGGAAACCGTACCCTTTTTTGGGTCTCCGCAGGCCTTGGAGAGTTCGGGGAAAAGGCCGTTGAAGTGGGCCTCCTCCCAGCCCTTGAGGTGGGCCCCCATGAGGCCCAAAGTGCCGAAGTGGGGGAGAGAAAGGGCCCCCCCGATGAAGCCTTTTTCCCTCTTGAAAAGGGTCTTTTCGGCCCTGCAGAAGGGGCCCCTGAAGGGCCCCCGCAGCACCAGCAGCAGCGCTTGCGTGTTGGGACTCAGCAGCAAAGCCTTGAGTTGAGTTCCTACTAAGTTGCGCAAATAGTGCAGAGACGGAAAGTCCCAGTTGGGGTTGCTGCTGAGCAGGTTCAGCACGTAGCGCACGTTCTGCAGCAGCTGCTGCTCCCGCTGCTGCTCCAGCTTCAAGTTCTCCTGCAGCATTATTGCCACGCCGTCCACCTGGTCCACTGACAGACCACTGGTCTGCGACAGGAACCCCGCCAGCAGCTGAAACGTGTTCGGCTGCACCAGCAGAGAGTTCCTGAGCAGCAGCAGCAGCAGCAGCAGCAGCAGCGGCAGCGGCGGCGGATCTCCAGACGTTCAGGGCTCTCTAGCGAGCGCGCTAGCTGGCTGGCTAGCTGCCTGGCTAGCTGCTTGCTAACAACCGCCAGCTAGCTGCCTGGCTAGCTAGCTCGCAGGCAAACCCGAGGGCCCAGCTAGCTAGTCATCTAGACAGCTGGCCAGCTAGTTAGCTAGGTCGGCCCCTAGCTGGCTAGATAGCTACCTAGGTGGCTAGCTAGCTAGTTAGGCGGCTAGCTACTTAGCTGGCTAGCTAGCTAGCTAGGTGTGTGACTAGCTAGCTAGCTAGGCAGCTGGTTAGCTAGCTAGGTGGCTGAATAGCTAGCTAGGTGGCTAGCTAGCTAGCCACCCAGTGGCTAGCTAGCTAGCCAACCAGTGGCTAGCTAGCTAGCCAACTAGTGGCTGGCTGGCTAGCCAACTAGTGCCTGGCTAGCCAACTAGTGCCTGGCTAGCCAGCCAACTAGTGGCTAGCTAGCCAGCAAACTAGTGGCTAGCTAGCTAGCTGGCTGGTGGCTAGCTAGCTGGCTAGCTAGCTAGCTAGCTAGGTGTCAGGCTGACCACTGGACGACGGCGAGTCTGAAGGCGCGGTGGGGCCTTCTGATGATTTCGCTGCGGATGGTATTCATGTCTTCGCGGAAGTTGTGTACGTGCACCTCGTAGTCCTGCTGCAGCTGCTGCACGCTGCCGAGCCCGGGCGCCCCCTGCTGCTGCTGCTGCTGCTGCTGCTGCACCTCGTCCTGCGTGTACAGACGCGCCATCGGGGACACCCCACAACTCTCCACTGGCATTTCGTCTGTGGGGCCCAGCCCCAAAGTGCCCTGGTTAGCGAAGGCCCCCAGCAGCGCAGCTTTCCCCGGCTTCGCCTGCAGGTACCCTTCCACTGCAGCGCAGCAGCAGCAGCAGCAGCAGCAGCAGCAGGTGGCGCACGCGGAACGCCACGGAGAGCCCGCTCGACGGCGAGTTTGCTGGGGGCCGGGGTGGCGAGATAGCTGGACAGCTGGATGGATCTGCTGGCTAGCTGGCTGACTGGCTAGCTGGCTGGCTGGCTAGCTAGCTAGCTAGCCAGCTTGCTAGGGAGCTAGCTAGCCAGTTTGCTGGGGAGCTAGCTAACTGGCTAGCTAGCTAGCTAGCCGGGGATCTAGCCAGCTAGATAGTTGGTTGGCTGGCTGACGAGCTAGCTACATACAGCCTCTGTGATAGCTAGTTGACTCGTAAGCTAGCTGGCAAGGTGGTTGTTCAACGAGCCGGCCAGCCAGATAGCTAGCTAGCTGGCTGGCTAGCTAGCTGGCTTGCTAGCTGGCTAGCTAGCTAGCCAACTAGCTGCATCTATAGATATCCAGGATAAACGTTCAGCTACCCTAAGCAGGGAGAAGGGCAGCTAGCTTGCTACATCGCTAAAGAGAAATGAAGCTAGCTGGCTAGCCAGCTAGCTGGCTACCTAGCCAGCCAGCTAGCTAGCTAGCTAGCTAGCCAGAAGAATTGCATTTGCGGTGCTGTGTAGATCTACCCCTTGCGCCGTAGTCCTCTAAGACGGATGTGTCCTTGCGGGACTGAGCAAAGACAGCAGCAGCAAAACAGGCTGTGAGCAGCAGCAGCAGCAGCAGCAGCGCTAAAAGCAGCAGCAGCAGCAGCAGCAACGGCAGCAGGAAGAGCAGCAGCAGTAGCAGCAACGGGTGGCGAAAGAAGAACTGCCTTCCTTCAGCGGAGAGAACAGCAGCCCCCAGGCGTCCTAGGGTTTAGGGTTTAGGGTTTGACTCCTCACTCCTGCGGCAAAGAAATGCACAGTAAAGCAAATCGAAGGAATGTGGGTGCGGCCCTTGTAGGATTTGAGGTGGCTAAACCCTAAACTCTAAACCGTAGACCCTAAACCCTAAACCCTAAACCCCAAACCCTAAACCCTAAAACCCCAGCGAACGTGGTTTGATTTGACTCACTCTGAACTCCTTGAGTCCTCTCCA